AGGCGTTAGCCAACCACACCTGGTCCTGAAATGAGTTTTTCTTTTGGGTGCACTGTGTCTATGACATTGTATTTACTAAACAGGAGTTTATCTCTCACCCTTCTGAAATTTCATCTACTAAACACTAACTGAGCAGTTACTTTGCTCAGAGTCACTGAGCAGTTACTCTCATATGCTGGGTATGAGAGCTGCAAAGGTACGCAGGGCCCGCCCCAGCCTTCCATCCTGGCCTGCTTGTCAGGGAAGAGTCCCACAAAGACAATCAACCAAAACAATGGCCTGCGGTAAGGATGACAATGTGGACGTGTACACTGTCCTAGGGGACCACGGTGGGAAACCTGCCGGGTCTAGAAGCCTGGAGTCCTTCTGGCCACCTCTGTGCCCCTCACTCCTTGCATCTACTCACCCCCTGCACCCCTGGATCAAGCCTCCTTAAACTCTCAAATCTGTGCTGTCCCCTAAGCTCCACAGACACTGCTGACTTTAGGTCTCGAGTGAACTCTCTGATCCCAGCCATCCTCCACCAAAGCCAAAAAGAGATTCAGAAAGGGCAAAAAAGACCATGTCATTCCCCTATTTAAAACCTTCAGTGGGCCAGGCATGGTGTCTCACGCCTGTAATCCCAGCACTTTGGGAGGCTCAGGCAGGTGGATTGCTTGAACTCAGGAGTTCAAGACCAGCCTGGGCAACAGAGTGAGACTCCATTTTGATAAAAACAAAAGAATTTATTTTTTTCAGACAGAGTTTCACTCTGTTGCCCAGGCTGGAGTACAGTGGCCCGATCTCAGCTCACTGCAACATCCGCCCCCCAGATTCAAGTGATTCTCATGTCTCAGCCTCCCAGTAGCTGGGATTACAGGCCACGCCCAGCTAATTTTGTATTTTTAGTAGACATGTTGGCCAGGCTGGCTGACCTCAAGTGATCCGCCTACCTCAGCCTCCCAAAGAGCTGGGATTATAGGCATGAGCCATGGCACCCAGCTGAAATTTTAAATAATTATAAGAAAAAACTCCAAACTTTCAGTGGCTCCCTGTTGGCCCTGGGATAACGTCCAAACTCATCAGCATGGCTTCACAGCCCTTTCTGATCTAACCCACATTAACACGAGAATTATTTCTTTTACTTGTTCCTGTGACTCCAATTTAACTGAACACTTGCTATGTGCTGGCCCAGTGGTTCCTAACCTTTTTGGCACCAGGGACCAGTTTCATGGAAGACATTTTTTCCACTGATGGGGCAGGATGGTTTCAGCGTGAAACTGTTCCACCTCAGATCATCAGGCATTAGATTCCCAGAAGGAATGTGCGGCCTGGATCCCTCACAGCACAGTTCACAGTAGGGTTCAAGCTCCTAGGAGAATCTAATGCCACTGCTGATCTGACAGGAGGCAGAGCTCAGGCGGTAATGCCAGCTCGCCCGTGGCTCACCTGCTATTCGGCCAGTTTCTAACAGGCCACTACCGACTGGTTCTGGTCCTCGGCCTGGGGGTTGGGGACCCCTGTACCAGGCCTCCTGCTGGGTACCAGGATGCAGTAGTGAACACACATACTGTCCCCCCTCCCGGCACTTGAGGTCTAGCAGGGAACACAGACACTAAACGAATAGTGACACAGGTCATTACAATTGTGTCAGTACAGGAAAAGGAAGATTTCTCTGGCAACTCCCTGCTTCAGCCACAATAAACTACTCACGGTCCCTGCTTCCTGGCCCGCCTCAGGCTGAGCTCTCTCCTTCAGATGGCCAAATCTCTCCAGCCCTCTTGGTCTCAGCTCAAGGTTCTCCTTTCTAAGGGAGTCTTCCCTGAACCTCCTAGATGGTTCCATGGGATTCTGCTCCCACCCTGGGTCCTGGGTCCTTCTGAGCCCAGCACAGAGCTGAGCACAGTAAATGCTCAGTAAATGTTTGGCACGCAAATGATGAACAGGTCCTCTTAATCCATGTGTGAGTGTTTGCTTTTAAAGAAAATGATAGAGTTTTTTACTCTGATTTTATGTATTCACAAAAGATTGGTGCTGGGTGCTAATAAAGGTAGAGAGAGCTATTGTTTAAAATAGAATGCTTGTGCACCCAAGGACTTCAGGGACTGTGACAAAGATGGGGGCATTGAGGGGTCTCCAGGATGTCTCAGGCCAGCAGGAGGTGAGTGGGGCGGAGGGGAGGTGAGCCTGCTGCCCAGCCTCATGTAGCCCACACTGTGACCACCAGCTCTTCTCTGGGCTCTTGGCCCAGAAGCCTGGCTGACCTCCCACTGCTGCCCTCTACCCTTTGGCAGAAGCCCGGGGTCTGCCCCTGGACTTAGCTCCTGTGGGCTATCCAGTGCTGGGGAAGAGAAGAGCAGCTGGGATTGGGGTCAGAGGGGCCTAGGGCAGCTGTACCCTAGCACTTTTCCTGGGGCTCTCCCTGGGAGCTGCTCCGCCCCTCTCTGCTCCCTGACCTCCTCAGTACCTGCCGGGGCTTGAGGTTGCGCCAGGCCTAGGTGCAGCAAAGGAAGGTAAGCCCCGCCACCCACCCACTCTGAAAACGCTGCTGCTCCCTCCAGAAGAGACTTTGTCCTGTCTGGGAGCCCCACCCTCGGCCCCGTATCTACAAAAGCCACGCGGCTCCCTGAACTTCCTTCTTCCTTGGAATTGCAGAGTTGAAAGATCACCTGGCCCACTCCATTCAGTTTACAGAAGATGACACTGAGGTCTGGAGTGGGGCATTAAGTACCCAAGATGTCACAGCAGATAATGGCAAGAGCCAGGATTTCAAACAAACAAACAGAAGAGGCAAGTCCCCTGCCTGTGAGCAGCCGGGCCCCCTTCTGCTACGCCTGCTGCCCTGCCTGTTCCTCATGGGCTGTCCCACCTTTTGTCTTTAGTTTGAGCCTGAAAGTTACACCTCCAATGAATGAAACTCACAGGATCATTGCCGTCCCAGCTTCCTCCTCCTCACACCCACTCTCGGCCATCTGCCCTTCTCACCCACAGGTGGAGGCAAAGCTTGGTCAACCTGATAGGCCTCTTCCAGGCAGGGGCAGGAGAAGGGACTGCACAGCAGCTCTGAGTCAGGACTCTGAGTCTCGGTAAGGCATGGCGGCCAGGATGGCCTTAGAGAAGGAATCCAGCCCAGGTGCACTGTGTTTACCTTCTCGGCTCATAAACATGACCAGACCCTCCCTGGCTGGCTGGCTGAAGTCCCAGCCTCTTAGTCCAGCCCTGAAGCCTCTCCCATTCTGGCCAGTCCCATCCTCAACCCGCTCTCCTGCCATCCCACCCCATCCTCAGATTACAGCTCTTCAGCCTTTCTTGCCTTGCAATGCTGTTCCCTCAGCTGCAATGCCCTTCCCTGCCTCTCCACCCCGAAAACTCCTTCTCCTTGTATCCTCTGCACGAACACTTCCCTCCTCCCTCCCCTTCCCCTCTTCTTCCTTTGTGCCTACGTGGCACTTTTGAGACAATGTTACAAGCATAATAAAGAAAATAAGGTCATGAATCTGTGTCCTCCAGCAGACTCTCCTCAATGACAGCAATTGTGTGTTTATCTTTAAATTCTCAGAGCCCAGCATATAGTAAACATTCAATAAAGGAAAACATTGCTAAACAAATCAATATATGGACTCTGCATTTCTTCCAGAGCCAAACTGGAAAGCAAGTTCTAATATCACGTAAGGATTCCATTCCGATTCATTTACTCATCAAATAGTTATTGAATACTGCTACGTGCAGGGCACAGTGTAGTCAGGGTACAGGGAGCATGCAGCTGGGGTGGACTCATGCTCTACAATTTTTTTTTTTTTTTTTTTTTTTTTTGAGGTGGATTCTCACTCTGTCACCCAGGCTGGAGTGCAATGGTATGATCTCGGCTCACTGCAACCTCCACCTCCTGGGTTCAAGCGATTCTTCTGCTTCAGCCTTCCGAGTAGCTGGGATTACAGGCGCCTGCCATTACGCTTGGCTAATTTTTGTATTTTTAGTTTCACCATGCTAGTCAGGCTGGTCTCGAACTCCCGACCTCAGGTGACCACCTGCCTCTGCCTCCCAAAGTGCTGGTATTACAGGGGTGAGCCTCTGCTCCCCCCTAAGCTCTACTTTTAAGGAGTTTGCATTGTGAAAATACAGACAAGGCAGAAAAGAATTTGTTATAAGAAATGGCTAGCATTTACTGACCACCACTGTTACAAGCAGATTATTGCATTTAACTGAGCATTAACCCTATAATATAATATAGGCACTTTCATTATTAGCCTGATTTTACAGATAAGAAGACCGAGGCTTGCAGAAGTGGAGAGACATGGCCATGGCACAGCTAGGAAGTCGTGGAGGCAGGATTTGAACCCAGGCACACCTGGATCCACCAGAATTAATGAAGATGGGGAAGCAATTAACTTTGCTTTAAGAAACTAGAAAGTCGGCCGGGCGCGGTGGCTCAAGCCTGTAATCCCAGCACTTTGGGAGGCCGAGGCGGGTGGATCACGAGGTCAAGAGATCGAGACCATCCTGGTCAACATGGTGAAACCCCGTCTCTACTAAAAATACAAAAAATTAGCTGGGCATGGTGGTGCGTGCCTGTAATCCCAGCTACTCAGGAGGCTGAGGCAGGAGAATTGCCTGAACCCAGGAGGCGGAGGTTGCGGTGAGCCGAGATCGCGCCATTGCACTCCAGCCTGGGTAACATGAGTGAAACTCCGTCTCAAAAAAAAAAAAAAAAAAAAAAGAAACTAGAAAGTCAAGGAAGGCTTCACCAAAGAGGGGGCGGCTGAGATGTGCCCTGTAGGACAAACAGGATTTTCACAGACGGGAAAGTAGCACACCCCAAACTAAAGAGAGATCTGGGGTAAGAATTTGAGGGTTTAAGTTAGTGGCCTTGAACCTTGTCTGCACATTGTAAACACCTGGAGGCTTTAAAAACCATGGATGCCCCCAGGTCCTGCCCCGGAGATTCCGAAGTGATTGGTTCTGGAGGTTCTAACTGAGGAGGTGGGAGGCGCCTGGTGTAAAGTGTATAAGGCGACACCTACCTGCAGCCCAGACGCTCCCTGGATGCTCTGCGTCCTGTTTATGGCGATTTCCTGTCCCCTTGGGAGGGGCCCCGGACAACATGGGCGGGGCTGGTGCTTCCTCCTCGCATTTGCTCCTTTTCTGACCATTTGTGACCTTCCTGTGGCCTGGAGTTGCAGAAGACTCCTTGCTGGGGAAATTCCGTGGTTTCCTTGCAAGGGGGCGTGTGTTCTGTAGAAGGAAGGCACCCAGCTTGCAGTCTGCAGGAGCCGAGACCTGCAGGTCAGAGTGAAGACAGCTGATTTGAGGACCCTGGGCAGGCAGCTTGTGTGCTATAGACATGGATAGGAGGAGCTGGCACCCCCTCCTCCCCGTCCCAGCAGGCAGGCTCCTCGGGGCAGGGGCAGCTGTCAGGAGAGGGCACGGGGCTTCACCGTCACACTGCTTGATGCCCTCAGAACAGTGACATCCGCCAGAGCGAGGGATGCCAGGATGAGTGGCTGCAGCAGGCAGGGGCTGGATTTCCCCTACCCAGGCCCAGGCAGTGACTCAGGGACAAGTGTTGAAAGCAGACAGTGACCTCAGTTTCCTCGCCCACTGGGGAATGTCACCATGCCCCACAGCCCCCTCAGGAGCACAGACAGCTCAGGGCCCAGTGAGATGGAAGTTGACAACATGGTGTCATGTGGGGCACACAGGACTCTTGCCCTCACCAGCTGGATGCCCGGAGCTTCCTGTTCCTCATAGAAGTGATGTGAGCATCCCAGGAGGTGATGTCCATGATCAGGAAGGCGTGTAAACAACCACAACCCATCAGTGCCTGCTGCAATCCATGTATTTATATATTACTGACTTTCACATAATATAGTGTTCCCTTGTATTGGATATTAACTCATTTCCTTTAAATTTTTGTTATTATAAATACCACTGCATTTTCTTTTGAAATACTCTTCAAACTGGCCAGGTGCAGTGGCTCACGCCTGTAATCCCAGCACTTTGGGAGGCCAAGACGGGAGGATCACTTGAGGTCAGGAGTTCAAGACCAGCCTGGCTAACATAGTTTAACCCCATCTCTACCAAAAATACAAAACTTAGCCAGGTGTGGTGGCACACACCTGTAAACCCAGCTACTCAGGGGGCTGAGGCATGAGAGTCACTTGAGCCCAGGAGGTGGAGGTTGCAGTGAGCCGAGATCACACCACTGCACTCCAGCCTAGGTGACAGAGCGAGACTCAGTCTCACAAAAAAAAGAAGAGAGAAAGAGAGAGAGAGAGAAGAAGAGGAGGAGGAGGAGGATGAGAAGAGAAGAGAAGAGAAGAGAAAGAAGAGAAGAGAGAAATTCCTCCCCAAAGTGAAACCCTAGGGTGCAGTATATAAAACTCTGGCTACATATTGCCAGGTTGTCCTCAAAAAAAAGTTGAACTAAGTTGCAGTGCTCCTAGCAATATATGATTTTTGCCTATTTCCCTATAGATTTGTCAATGGTAAGTTTCATATTTTTATTTATTTTTGATAACTGAATTGGTGTTAGTGTTGCCTCCAAACAGTTTGAATGGGCATTTATTTAATTTCTATCATTGCATAGAGGATCCACCCGCCTACTAGAAAAGGAGCTCCTCTGGGCCGGGTGCAGTGGATCACACCTGTAATGCCAGCACTTTGGGAGGCAGAGACGGGCAGATTGCTTGAGGCCAGGAGTTTGAGACCAGCTTGGGCAACATAGTGAGACCTCATCTTTACTATAAACTTTTAAAAATTATCTGGGCATGGTGGCATGTACCTGTAGTCCCAGCTACTGAGGAGGCTGAGGCAGGAGGATCGCCTGAGCCCAGGAGTTCAAAACTTCAGTGAGCTAGGATCTCACAATTGCACTTGAGCCTGGGAGACAGAGTGAGATCCTATCTCAAAAAAATGAAAGAAAGAAAAGAAGGAAGGGAAGGAGGGAGAGAGGGAGGGAGGAAAGGAGGAAAGAAGGAAGGAAGTAAAGGGAGGGAGGGAGGGAGGGGAAGGAAGGAAAGGAGGCAGCTCTCTTTGGAACGTGGTCCCTACTGGATGCGGGCTGGATCAATGTGCAAGCCTTCACTCAGGGATGCCTCCCTGAAGCCCAGGCAGGCCTCTTGCCTATGCCTCCATAGTCCTATGACCCTTTCCTTCAGTCAACTTCTCATAGCTGTCACTTTATGTGCATTTGGGAAACTGATTAGTTTATTTCTTCCCCCACAAGACTGTAACCCCATGAGGAGCTATTGCTTTGCTCACCATTGGACCATTTATCACCTGGTGTGTGCCTGGCAGACAGTAGATGCTCATTTAAATATTTGTCAAAGTGTTAGAGCCCTTTTAGACTTTGTCTAGCAGGCTTTCTGGTTTTTGTTGGAAAGCCCTCCCTCAAGAAAAGTAATTTTTAAAGTGAAACAAAATAAATGTATACATAAATATTTGTTGAATAAATGAATACTTAAAAATCTCATGAGTAAGTGTGCCAGAGCTCAACTGTAGAATGTATCTTTGCAAACGATTTGTCAGTGGGCTTAATCAGAAATATTTAAGGAGCACCTACCGCTGCAGCATGGGGTAGAGGGGCAGTTATACAAAAGTGAGAACACAAGGCATGTATCCTGCAGCATGGGGTAGAGGGGCAGTTATACAAAAGTGAGAACACAAGGCATGTATCCTGTAGCATGGAGTAGAGGGGCAGTTATACAAAAGTGAGAACACAAGGCATGTACCCTGTAGCATGGGGTACAGGGGCAGTTATACAAAAGTGAGAACACAAGGCATGTACCCTGCAGCTTGGGGTAGAGGGGCAGTTATACCAAAGTGAGAACACAAGCCATGTATCCTGTAGCATTGGGTACAGGGGCAGTTATACAAAAGTGAGAACACAAGGCTTGTACCCTGTAGCATGGGGTAGAGGGGCAGTTATACAAAAGTGAGAAGACAAGGTCTCTGCTCTTAAAGAAACACATAAGCAGGTGGTGAGACCCACGCCTCTGCTGTGGCTGCTGTGGTGTCTCACCCCATTCTCCCTGTAAAGGAAGCTTTGGGGCAAGTGAAGCTGTTTTCCCATGGTCATGGCGGGATGCAGCCATCTGCGACATCCTAGCTCCCAAGATGAGAGCAAGTGTGGCCAGCCTAAGCCATAGTGTCCCACGGTCAGATGGCCAGTGACTTCAAACTAGGGAAGCGGGAAGTTTGGGCAGGGGGAGGGATCTCGGAGATGCTCTAACACTTGGCTTCATCCTGAACCCCCAGGACCAAATCCCAGCTCTGCTGATTATAGGGCCATGCAGCCAGGCAAAGCACCCACCTCTCAGCATTATCGAAAAAGCCTCAAGGGCTATGGGGAGGATTCAAAGATGCCTGGCGCACGGTGAGCACTGACACACGTTAGCTGGTTGAGTGACTTCCCCAAGGTCCTGCAAAGCAAGAGAAAAACCTGCATCTCCTGACCACACAGCCATCAAAGCCATGCTCAAAAAGCTTTTCGGCGTAAGTATTCCTATCAAGAGGAAAGGGATGTTTTGTTTTGTTTTTTTAATGCAAAGCAGCTTCAACTGAAACTGACCTCACCATGGGCGTCTGAGTTTGTTTCTGGAGAGGAGAGAAGGAATGAGCCAGCTCTCCAGGAACTGCAGGGACACACCCAGATTGCTCAATCCCTCAGGACAGTGGAGCCAGGTGCTTCCCCGGGCCCCTTCCTGGGCCAGAGGGCCCTGTGGGGATGCCCTCCTCAGTGCCAGCTCCTCCACGGCCATGGGTCTGCATGGGACAAACCCAGATAGAACCTTCTCCAGGATTAGTGCAGGGCAGGTTATCACAGGCAGGAATGGAGTAACCAGCAGAGGCCACACTGTCTCTTACCACTCAGGACAGAGCGACGACTGTTCCCACCCACGCTTTGCCTCTGAAGCTGCCCTCACGGCTTTTCAGGGCCGCTGGCTCATAATAATAATCCTGCCAGCCCTGGACACATGTGGTCCCGCCTCGGCTTCCTTCTGTCTTTGTGTGCAGTTCTTTCTCCAGACTGGCTCCCTTTCCATCTCTACTCCCTCCATAAATTGGGGCACCAGGTGCCCCTGTGATGGCCTCTCAGCCCTTTCTTTCCTCCTCAAGCTGGAACTCTGTCTCTTACTTCAAGCTCTTGGGGGACAGTCTGACCCACCCAGTAAACCTTTTCAAGCCAGGGCCTTATGGGGCGAGAAGGGGGCTGCACCCTGTAAGTCCTCCAAGATCTAATCTCACCCAAGCTGGTCCTGTTCTCCTTTCTGCTGATCCAGCTGTTCTCCCTTTAGGGATAGAGAGGGCATCCACACAAATCCTTCCTGACTTGTAAGATGAACTTTGTGATTGGTTTCCTAAGCTTTGGCCTCCGAAGAAAAACCCCTTCTCAACATACTGCATGTGACATATACATGCATGCTGGTTTTCAGACCATGCTGTCAACTATGGCTTCTGAAGCTTCTACATTGAAACTTTTTGTTCTAGGCCAGAGCTGCCCAGTCCTTACCCGTGTGTAATAACCTGAGAAGGTTATGTGTTAAAACAGATTTCTCAGCCTCATCCCCAGAGACAGATTGGGCTTTAGGAGATGTGGGCTGTGAGCTTCAGGAGATGTGGGCTGTGGTCCCAGAATCTGCCTCCCTCTCAGGTAATGCTGATGCTGCCCGTCGGCCAACTCCACCTGGAGCCGGACTGTTCTCGAAACTTCAGCCCTCACCCTGAAGTAAGGAATGTTCCCGGCTTAAAGTCAGAGGGGAGAAGAGAAATGAGGGAAAAAATGCAGGCAAGAAATATCTCGCTTAAAACATTTCCAAGGCCGGGCGCGGTGGCTCAAGCCTGTAATCCCAGCACTTTGGGAGGCCGAGGCGGGTGGATCACGAGGTCAAGAGATCAAGACCATCCTGGTCAACACGGTGAAACCTCGTCTCTACTAAAAATACAAAAAAAAAATCAGCTGGGCATGGTGGCACATGCCTGTAATCCCAGTTACTCAGGAGGCTGAGGCAGGAGAATTGCCTGAACCCAGGAGGCGGAGGTTGCGGTGAGCCGAGATCGTGCCATTGCACTCCAGCCTGGGTAACAAGAGCAAAACTCCGTCCCCCCAAAAAAAAAAAAAACATTTCCAAATACTGACCTACTCCACAGGTTTACCCTTGTAAAGTAATGAGTTCTTTGCAAAGTGAGGTTCTGAGAAGTAGGGAAACTTGCGCGGGTCACACAGTTTTTGATTGATTGGCAGAGCCTGGATCCAGGTGCTAACCTGTCTGCTTGGTCCTGGCCCACTGAGACGCTGTGAAACTGAATTCATGTGAGATTGATTGTCGCTGGCAGAAGCATCACCAGACTCTTCTGACATGGCTGGTCAGAACTGTTATCTCTGCTACCCACACAATGTTCACAAATGCAAATGCAGCTATCTATACACCCGATTAATCCCACGGCTCCTCAGGTTAGGGTGCTGGATGAGCCTGTCTGAACAGTGGCCGGAGCAGCCTAGCTGGGACAGGCATTCCCACTCTTGGGTCTTCCATGCCTGGCTTGATCCTGCTCTCCAGATAGCATGGCTATGACTGACAGGTTAGGATTGTCCTAAAATATGACTGTGTGAGAATTCTCAAATACCAAATGTTACAAGGAGTAGAAAGCTTTAGCGCCATGGTTCTCACAGTGCAGTCCCAGGCAAGTGCAGTGGCTCACGCCTGTAATCCCAACACTTTGGGAGGCTGAGGCTGGAGGATAGATTGAGGCCCAGAATTCAAGACCAGCCTGGGCAACACAGTGAGATGCCCATCTTTAAAAAATATTTTAAAACAATTAGCTAGGTATGGTGGTGCATGCCTGTAGTCCCAGCTACTCAGAAGGCTGAGGTGGGAGGATTGCTTGAGCCCAGGAGTTTGAGGCTGCAGTGAGCTATGATCAGGCCACTGCACTCCAGCCTGGCTGAAAGAGTGAGGCCCTGTCTCTAAAAAAAATTAAAAGTTTTTTTTTTTTTTTTTTTAATCGATTTAAAAAAGTGTGGTCCCCAGATCAGGAGTGTCAGCTTCACCTGAGAACTTGTTTGGAACCCAAATACTTGGATCGCAGCCCAGACTAATGAAGCAACAACTTTGGGGTTAGGGCTCAGCAGCCCACATTTTAACATGCCTTCCAGGATTCTGACGCACAGCTGAGGTTTGAGAACTGCTGTTCTTGGGAGAAAGTTAGCCAGATTTCCAGTATGGTTTGGGAGGCTTTGATTTGGTGGCATGGAGAATTCCCTGCTCTCTGGGTTAGCTCTGACATTCACCAGTGGAGGTGGAGTTTGTAAAGCAGATGGTGATAATCTAGCTGTGAAGTTAACTGCACACTCCTGCCTCACTCGTTTGCATCTTGCCCTGGAGAGGATTTATTGCCAGGATGGTCTTGTGGCTGTGGTAACTTTTGCATTCAGGCTAGGCCCTTCCTCTGTGGAGGATAAATTTATATCACTTAGACGCCAGGTAAACTCAATGTCCTTCTCTGTTTCCCAGAGCCCAGAAAAGCCTATTTATTGTCCCTGCAGTGGTTGACCAAATCACTGCCTGGCCTAACTGGCCTTGGTGCATTTCTTTTCTTTTCTTTCCTTTTTTTTTTTCTAGTTTTGATCTTGTTGCCCAGGCTGGAGTGCAGTGGTGCAATCTCAGTTCACTGCGACCTCTGCATCAGCAATTCTCCTCCCTCAGCCTCTGAGTAGCTAGGATTACAGGTGCATGCCACCACACTCAGCTAATTTTTAGTATTTTTAGTAGATATGGGGTTTTATCATGCTGGTCAGGCTGATCTTGAACGCCTGACCTCAGGTGATTCACCTACCTCGGCCTCCCAAAGTGCTGGGATTTCAGGCGTGAGCCACCACGCCCGGCAGCTGTATTTCTTACAGTGTTCAGGAACTCCCAATTTTCTGTTTTAGAAAAAAGTAAATTGAATGTTATATTTGGGGTTGGTGTGGAGGAAAAGTTAAATATTAAATTTGAATTCAATTGAACATGGACACAAGCAATGGTCACCAAGTCCCAGAACAGGTTGTGTGAGCCCCTTGCACCAGTGCTGTTTCGGAAAAGTCTCTCTTTCAATCTATTCCCATATGTTAGTTATTGAAAAACAATAGGCAATCGCAGAAGCAAGTTGACCTTTTTGTCCCAGTCACGAAGGTGACTGGGCCTCATGCCTAATAACCTGTTACAAAAAGAGCTGGGGTTCCAGACTGCACCGAAGCTCCGTGAGACCGCTCCTTGTCTGTACACGGACAGGCGGCCGGCTCTGGAGCCCAGGCTATTGCCTCTCAGTCTGGTGGTGAATCCACCATAGTCTGGTGAATGTAAATTTATTTTCCTTTCTCCCCTTTCCATTGCAATTTGCTTATTATATCAATCTGCTTATTATTATATCATTTGCTTCTTGCATCTGCACTGTCATTTACATGGGATAAAGGCTGTTTAGCCTTAAAGGCATTGTGTGTGTGTCTTTTCTTCTCCCCTCTCGCGTTTCCTGCACAGAACAGTCGGGTACTTCATATGATACAAAAAAATTATGCTAGCCTCCATTATTTCTGCAAGTGACATAGCAAGCAAGTAGATGTGAGGCAAATTCTTTTGTGTGTGTGTGGGGAGGAGACACCATTCATATAAAATTTATCCTTTTAAAGCATACACTTCGGTGGCTTTTAATTTTAAAAGTGCATGGTACCACAACAGAACTTTCTGGAGTGATAGAAATGTTCTACAGCTAGTTTTGCATGACTATTTCATGGGGACATAAAATTATCAAATTTATTCCTTAAACTGAACAATTGAGGCTGGTTCATATTATTGTATCTAAACTACACCTCAATTTAAAACAGTAACTTTTAAGTATTAAATTAAAATGTTATTTTAATTTAATTAAACATTGTTTATTTAAACAATTTCTAAAATAATAATTTTAAAAGCAAACAGCACTACTTTTTAAAAAATCTGTCATGATTAAAATGTGGGAAACATACAGTGGTTGACTCAATGAAACTGTCTCCAAATTAACAAGCAAACAATAGGTCACATTTGCCTTGTGGTATTCGTTCATTTCTCAAATCCATTTCTCATTTCTGTTAAGGATATTCAGATAACCAAAGATCTTATAAGTCAGGTTAACTTCCCTGCAGCAATAGAGCCTTAATATACACCAAGAAATAGTATCAACTGTGTGATTACACACTTTAGAAACATCATACTGCGGGGTGGGGATGTTAAAAAAAAAGAAAGAAAGAAAACATCAAATGTATTACTTGATGTAAATACAAAAAAGTTGAGGTTTTTTTGCTTTTGCTTTTGGGACTGAGTCTTGCTCTGTCACCCAGGCTGGAGTGTAGTGGTGTGATTTTGGCTCACTGCAACCTCTGCGTCCCAGGTTCAAGAGATTCTCCTGCCTCAGCCTCCCAAGTAGCTGGTACTACAGGTGCCCACCACCACACCTGGCTATTTTTTTTTTTTTTTTTTGTATTTTTAGTAGAGACAGGGTTGGTCTCAAGCTCCTGACCTGTAATCCACCCTCCTCAGCCTCCCAAAGTACTGGGATTACAGACATGAGCCACCATGCCTGGCCTTACTTTTTAAAATAGTATGCCCACTCTCCAAATAAGCAATAGCCTATTATAAATGTAATATATTATATATGTAGTATCTTATTATATATTCACAAGGTGAATGAGCAAGTTGGTTTTAACATGTCTGCGAGAATTATATACTGTTTGGGATTTTCCTTGATTTTACTCTAATTTTCATCTTAAATCTAAGTGGTGTGCACACAGACAAATGATGTAGTAAAACATGACTAAGATTAAAACAAAAAAAACAGTCTTAGTTTCTAGAGAGAAATGATGTAATTATCTGAGGCGATTTTCTAAGCATGGGAAAAAGACATTATAAGGGACAATCATACCAAGAAAACTAATTTCATTCTGAGAAAGAAAATAAACTTTCATCTGAGTAATGCTTTAGTTATCGGGCCCAGAGAGGAATTGAAATGTGACAGTGTGCCGGGCGCGGTGGCTCACGCCTGTAATCCCAGCACTTTGGGAGGTCGAGGCGGGTGGATCACGAGGTCAAGAGATCGAGACCATCCTGGTCAACATGGTGAAACCCCGTCTCTACTAAAAATACAAAAAATTAGCTGGGCATGGTGGCGCGTGCCTGTAATCCCAGCTACTCAGGAGGCTGAGGCAGGAGAATTGCCTGAACCCAGGAGGCGGAGGTTGCGGTGAGCCGAGATTGCGCCATTGCACTCCAGCCTGGGTAACAAGAGCGAAACTCCGACTCAAAAAAAAAAAGAAATGTGACAGTGTGTGATGGCAGTCACGTTCTTGAGCTAAGTGACTACCTCTTGAAGCCACTTGCTATGTGGGCTCTAGACTAACACCAAGCAGCCATAAAATACCATACACTGGACATCTATAGTTCAGTGATGTACAGCTAATCATTAATCAGTGTTATTTGTATAAACCAAGGAGCACTCCTGTCAAGCACCTTTGTCAGCCCACCTTTTTGTTTCCTTTTGCCCTTTAAAACCTGACTGCAGCAAACACTGGCGGGAGCACTCTGCAAGGCAACTGGAAAGTGTGTCCCAGGCTGCAGTTCCCAATCTTGGCTCAGTAAACTCTCTCTGTTAATTTTGCCTCAGTTTCCTTCTTCAGGTTGAGAATTCCTACTGCTATCTTAGGTACATGCGCTCAACTTCACTTCCTTATTGAAACCATAGACAATTACTTTTTTTTTTTTAACTTTTGAATGTGAGAATATATGTAATGTGCT